CGCACTTCTGCTATCCATTTTCCCGATATCTGCACAAGAACATCATGTGTAGCACGTTAATGCGTAAGAAATACCATTCATTGATCATATATATCTTATCAACAACTGTAAAACCTACACAATCATAAGTATAGCAAGCACCGGGCTTAAGATAAATGTACTTGCCCCAAATTAACATATATTAATTCTGCTAACTATATGTTGATATTCGTTAAGCCAATGAACATTGTTAAGAATCCCACATTGGAAAAATAAGAGAGAATGTATAGGTTTATAGGCAGCAGTTATACCATGGACCAGGGTCCACCTTGCAAGGTGGACCCGGGTCAAATACACAATAAATTGTGAACTTCAGTTTGTAAATTGTGTATTTTTGGACCCGGCTCCACCTTGCAAGGTGGACTTGGGTCCACAGAATAAATTGTCCATTTGTGTTATAGCCCAATTGAGTAACATTTCTAAGATGGTATTAGAGCTTGGTTCGGCGTATAAATCCACATTACGAGGATACAGATACTACTGGATATTATGAAATTTCCGACCACCTGAAAGTGATCTTAAATCAAGTCGAAAGCCTTGTTCCGACCACTTTTGATATCCGGAAAAATCTTTGTTGCTATTTCCGACCACTTTTTGGTATCAACTTGATTTAAGATCACTTTCAGGTGGTCGGAAATTCCATAATTTCCAGTAGTGAGAATATAATGTAACACTATTTTGTGTTTGCTAATACGGAGTACTTGAAGATGATCATCATTCAGAGACGAATGTGGGGTAGGGAGGATAAGTACCTTTCTCATGCACTACTTCCTTCAGGCAATGTAATCAAACGCGTGCTTGAATCATATACCATGTCTGTCCCACAACTGAGGAGAATAGACCGACCGAGGGTCAAAATATTAAAAACTCTTTTCTTGTTCTAACAAAATGCATGGCCTTAAGATTACAACACGGGATTTAAAACTTACTTTGTGTTTTTCAAAAAAAAAAAAAAAAAACTTACTTTGTGCATTTGACGTTGTTGCTGGAACCACCGCTAGATACTGACAATATGGTACCAAAAAATGAAGTGTTTTCCGTACCACAGTTTGGACAGGGACCCTGAAAGTATAGCTTCAACTTGTTAACTAGAACTAGATGAAAAAAAAAAACTAAAGTTACTGTTTTCGTATACAATTTAAGCTCTACTGTTAAGATGTCCTTTCGTTTTCATATCTTCATCCTAATTGGTTTGGCAAGGGTGTCCAGATGAGATACACACATGGTTGAAAAAATTGCTAGGCGTTCCTCGGACGCTCGGGAGCGCCTAGCGCCAGGCTGCGATTAATCGGTGGCCAAGCGCCTGTGTATTTTTTATTTTTAAAAAATTAGTTTAAATGTTTTTAATTTTTTAAGACTTGATAGTGTTATAAACTATTTAATATTTTAATAGTGAATACTAAAATATTAAATATTCGTCTAATAACATCTAGAGTTTGAACAATTTAGGGTTATTTCGCTCAAAACATGTCATTTTGAGTGAAATAATCCATTTTAAAAAGAAGGGAACAATACTTAATTGGCCGACTAGGCAACTTAGTCGGTGCCTAGGTGGCCTGGTTAGTGCTTAGGCAGCCTACTTGGTACCTAGGCGGCCTAGTAGGCCTAGGTGGTCAGCGCCTAGGCGGTCAACCGCCTAGACCACCGATTATGGTGATACGCTAGGCGGCCGGCCAGCGCCTAGCGCCTAGGCGCCGATTAATCGGTGCCTAGACGGGATTTTTGTAGCACTGGATGTCTCTCCACACATGTATTCACTCCCTTTAGGAAACATCAAGTAAGTCCCACCGCTAACAGAAATGCCATGACAAAATATTACCTTTAAAATCAGGAAATCTTTGACAATGAATCCCGTGATTGAAAAAGATAGCCACAGAATGAAAGGCAAAGCCGCAAACCACGTGAAGATGAAACTGAATGGCTCTGGAAGCTGCACATAAAAAAAATTTAGAAATAAAAGCAAGTCATGCATCAGTAATTGAGGAACGAATACACTATACACACGATAGTAAAATGCACTTTGGAAATACCTCCAAAAGGTAAGTGATTTCGAATCCAGTCAAGTCATCAAGGAAGAAGAACCTAGCATGGCATAGGAAAAAATAATGTTCAAATTACGCATATTATTATCAGTAGAACAGAAATCCAGCAAAGACTCACAATCCCAGCGCTACAACAGCAGCAGGAACATTAAGTAAGAACATCTTCAGATAGTCCACCGAGAGGTCACTGTAAACCTGCAGAAAGTCATATCAATCAAGTTAGAACCAGAAAATAAGTTCTTGAATCAACACTACAGAATTTGCACATAGCCTAAGAAAGAATAACTTACAAACCTTCCTACTGCGAAGACTGCAACGTGGACCCTCAACCACAATATCACTACCATCCATCTAGAAGGAATATAAACGATGAGAAGCTATAACAGTATAATAGTAATAGGAATAATAGCCTAAGTCGCAGTACTAGATTAAATTCTAATTTCACATTACATGAGCACCTTTCGTTAAACAATTAAAAAAAAAAGACTGTAATGCTCAATGTGTACTGATTTGGTGAGATGGCTCTTTCATTAATGTTGAGATTCATTATGTGGCTTCATTATTTTCACTATTAAGCTTTTATTATTTCTTGTGACTGTTTAGGTTCTTGTGTCTGTTAGTATCCCTGGCTCTGTTAGTATTCTCTTTACTGCCTATATATTGTAGTATGTGTATTTGCTTGTTAAGAGAGTGTAAATAACATTACAACATTTTCTTCTTCAAATCCTTCAACAATTAAAAATTTCTTTTCTAGACTATCTAATGTCAAATTTCTCAGCATTTATGGGTTTGAAGTTATTTTCTAGGATTTTCTAATCACAATCTGACTTCTCCTGGTACCTTAAGTTTCATCTTTAGTTTGTCAAACTCTTTGTCTGACATAATCGGTGTCCCTGCAACATATGCCATAGAAGCTTCCAAAAATCTCTGTTCATCAGCACCTGAAATTTGGACAAATTGAAGTTATAAAATGTAACGATATTGAAGGTAAAACATTAGAAATCTTACGTACTTAGCATGACAACACTGCTCCCTTCCCACATTAACTCTTCCTTGAGGTTATCAAACTCTTCATTTGACATGATAGCCTTTCCTTCATAATAGAAGGCCTATAGCATTGAGGCGATAATAAAAACCAAACAATTATGCCAAAGTGAAATGAATAAATATATGTTAAAGAGAAATAAAGACTTTAATTTGCTTGTACTTACTTGTAATGCTTGAAGAAAATCTTGTTCCATCTCGCCCAGAGACTTCTTCTCTTTCCTGTCTATGCTGCAATAGGGTAAGACATTACTGTCAACTTCAACTTCATCTTCCTGGACCTGACCTGAAACGAAACCCAACCTTACTGATTTCTGAAGTTCACTTTGTAGACATCACTAATCCAGTAAATTCCAAACTAAACCAGAAAACCATAAAAACAACTAAAACTTGGGAAAAATATATATAACCCCACTAGCCATTTCTTAAGTTCAAATGCCATATGGTGTAAATGGAATATGGAAAATGGAAGTACAGAGAATATCATTGACCTGAAAATCTGCAAGTTGGTAATTCTAAAGTTTTGAACTTTACCGGTTCATGTTTCCCCACATGATCAGCTTCATATTACAAAACAAAATTATCTCACTTCTTTTCATACAAACGAGAACAACAATAATTTAATTATTTATGCAAAGAATAGAACCAAGGAGATTACTTAATTCCAGCAAAAAGTCGAAATGCTTATTCATTGATGTCAAATATTGTTCTTATACTCATTAACATTATGATCGATTGGGGTTTTCTATTTCTTTCAATCGTTTCTTCCCCAATCAATGTTACTGTAAAAACCAAGAAAAAAAAAGAAGAAAAGATTATTGATCTTATAGCAAAAGCTGCTACCTGGCTGATCGGTAGTAGCCTTAGGGCATAGAACCAAAAACCTCCGGCGAACGGAGATCTTCCTTCCAGCAAAATAAATCAACGGGAGCCTAGACGCAGAAGGCAAAGAAGCGGAAGGCGCAGAAATGAATGGTCTTTTAAACGATGCATGAAGAAACCGGGGAGTGGTTAGAGAGTAGACAAGTTTAGTGGCCATTTGCGGCGGCGATAGCGGTGGCGGTGGTGGGAGAGAAATGGTGGCGGAAATATAGAGAAAGAAGGCATTTTGAGAATGGGAATGGAAATTTGATGACCTTTTGTGGAGGTGGCAATGGAGATAAGGCAGATGGTGAATGTGTGGAGGAGGGAGTTCGAAGATGGGTTTTGTCCTGATTTCAATAAAATCTTGGATTACGTACTTTACTGAGACTTGAAGGAATTTATTCAGCAATAATCTATACTATATATAATAACAAAATCCTTAAATTTTAATTTCTTGTCCAATTCTTAAAAAATCTCTCTTCTCAATAAAATATATTAATTTCTACTTTCCCATTCGTATAATAATTCTGGGTTAAAGTTCTATTTTAAAATTTTAAAATAGTGTAATACAATTCCCTTTGTACATCTATACTATATATAATAACAAAATCTTGGAATTTTAGGGGTCGTTTACTAACTTGGAGAAATTGAGGATTTTCCAGAAAATGGAGAATTGAGAAGTGGAAAAAATAAAAATTGAAGAAATTGTTTACTAAATTTCTTCTGAGTTTATTACCAAAAATGGTCCCTCGACTATTGTAAAAATTACTAATTTGGTCCTCGACAATTTTTTATGCCCAATTAAGTCCCTCGACTTTAAAAATGTTAACTATTTTGGTCCTCCGTTAGATCAGGTGTTAGAAGTCTGTTAAATTAGAGGGTATTGATGTAATTTCACATGAGATTCCCAATAGTAAAATCAGATCTTTCCACAGTTTGTATGGAAGGTCAACGGATGAACCTTAACACCAATTGTAGCTGTCATCCAGCAAAATTTATCCAAGATGAACATTTTAAACAAATAAATAAACAAACAAAAAGAAACCAAATTCCAATCAAGAACATCCAGCATCTAATCCATCTATACATACAAATCATGTAACAAAGATACTATACAGAGACACTAGACACAAATGCCTCTTCTCAAATTCACCAGTGAGATGCCTCTTCACAAAAGTAGTTTTTCCTGCAACAATTAGAAGCATTTATTTAGATTAAACCAGTGACAAAATAGACACAAATCAACAAAGAAAACATATAACCCCATCATATACAAATTCCACACACCAGTTCCTCCATCACCGACTATAACGAGCTTGAAGCTAGGGTAATCCAGAGTCTGATGATTAGGGAGAGCCTACAAACGACAAACAAAACACAAATCCACTAAAAAATCACAAGAAAAAATCAATGTAACATAAATCAAATCGGATCAGATAATGGAAATACACACACATATATACATTCCCTAATACAATGAACAAATCAAGTGACGGAGCACGTACGAAATTGAAGAAATGAAGCAGGATAGGCAAAAGCGAAGTAGATCAGTACCCATGGGGCGGCAGAGAGGTTGCAGGTGAGCTTTGTGCGGCGGAGGCAACAAACTCCCTCCTCCATGGCCAAGATTTATCCTTATCCATACACTAAATTCTCCAAACTTCTTCAACACCCTAAACCCAAACCTAAAATTCCAACACCTGAGCAAAATAGCTTGACAAACCCTAATGCCCAATAAATATCAAAACAGTCAAATTGATCTTCGATGTTCAAGGCACCGAGCTCTGCGAAGGCGACGACCTCTATGAGAGGGTGTCGCGGGGGCTGCTGTCGGAGCCCGCAGCCACCGCCGTTTTCCGGCAGCTAATGTCCGCGATCAGCTGCTGCCACCGTACCGGCGTCGCGCACCGGGACATGAAGCCCGACAACGTGCTGTTCGACGCGCAGGAGAACCTCAAACTCGCCAACTTCCGGTCGGCGGAGTGGTTCGAAGGGTGCGACGGCGGCCGGATGTCAGCGGTGGTCGGGACGCCGTACTACGCGGCGCCGAGGTGTTGATGCGCCGGGGGTACAATGAGAATTGAGAAAGATGATCTGTAAATGGGTCTTCTAAAATGGAAATGGGTTAACTAATTAAATAATATAAGAAATCGGTTCTCATGTGAAATTTCATTAATACCCTCTAATTTAACAGACTTTTAACACCTATCTAACGGAAGATTAAAATGATTAATATTTTCAAAGTCAAGGGACTTAATTAGACACGAAAAATTATCGAGAATTAAATTGGTAATTTCTTAATAGTCAAGGGACCATTCTGATAATAAACTCATTTCTTCTTCCAAATTCAATCTCTATCTCCATTCTTCCACTTCTAATACAAATTTGGAGAATAGATAAAAAGCTTTCTCCAAATGGAGGAATGGATACAGGTGAACAGTAAAATGGATGAACAGTGCATGAGGTCCTGCAGCGCTTGTCTGTCCTCTGCTCTTCCCATACTTCTTTCTTCTTTTTTTCCCCCCAACGTCTTCCCCTTTTTTTCCACTTCTTTCTTCTTTCTTCTTTCTTATCATCATCATCATTATTATTATTATTATTATTATTATTATTATTATTATTATTATATTATTATTATTATTATTTTATATTTATTTTTTTCCCCTACGTCTTCCTCTTTTTTCCGTTTCATTATTATTATTATTATTATTATTATTATTATTAATTGCACAAAAAATCACATTTGTATTTTTATACATGTTATTATTGCGTATGTTATTTTGTAATCATTTATAATTTATTTAGTGTAAGATTTTTATTGGAAAATATTATTATTATTATTATTATTATTATTATTATTATTATTATTATTCCCCTACGTCTTCCTCTTTTTTCCGTTTTCTTTTATTATTATTATTATTATTATTATTTACACAAAAAATCACATTTGTATTTTTATACATGTTATTATTGCGTATGTTATTTTGTAATCATTTATAATTTATTTAGTGTAAGGTTTTTATTGGTGTATTGAAATTATTATTATTATTATAATAGAAATGAAAAACTGGAAATAAGGAATGAAAATTAGAAAACTGGAGAAATGGAGAAATGGAGATGGAAAACTGGAGAAATGAAAAAATAGAAATGGAAAAACAGAGAAATGAAGTAAACGACCCCTTAACTTCCCACCCAATTCCTAAAAAATCTCTCTTTCCAATAAAATATATTGATTTCTACTTTCCCATTCGTACAATAATTCTGGGTTAAAGTTCTATTCTAAAATTTTAAAATAGTGTAATACAATTCCCTTTGTACATCTATCTATACTATATATAATTACAAAATTCTGGAATTTTAACTTCCCGCCCAATTTCTAAAAAATCTCTCTTCCCAATAAAATATATTGATTTCTACTTTCCCATTCGTACAATAATTATGGGTTAAAGTTCTATCCTAAAAATTTAAAATAGTGTAATACAATTCCCTTTGTACATCTATCTATCTATATCTATACTATATATAATAACAAAATCCTGAAATTTTAACTTCTCGCCCAATTCCTAAAAAATCTCTCTTCCCAATAAAATATATTGATTTCTACTTTCTCATTCGTACAATAATTCTGGGTTAAAGTTCTATTCTAAAATTTTAAAATAATGTAATACAATTCTCTTTGTACATCTATATCTATATCTATACTATATATAAAAACAAAATCCTGAAATTTTAACTTCCCGCCCAATTCCTAAAAAATCTCTCTTCCTAATAAAATATATTGATTTCTACTTTCCCATTCGTACAGTAATTCTGCGTTAAAATTCTAGCCTAATATTATAAAATAATGTAATACAATCTATACTGTATATAAAAACAAAATCCTGAAATTTTAACTTCCCGCCCAATTCCTAAAATGTCTTTCTTCCTAATAAAATATATTGATTTCTACAATAGTTCTGGGTTAAAATTTTATTGTAATATTATAAAATTGTGTAATACTATTCCTATTCTAATCTATATCTATTTTATATATCAGTGTTACAAAAATCGTGTCGCTTGCCGCGGCGAGGAAGGCCGGAATCAGCCTCCTCATAGGCCGCCTCGCCGGCTGAACCGGCCTTTAATTTTATTTTTTTAAGTTGTAAAGTGTCAAAAGTTCGGCAAGGCATAACTTTTGACTCCGTTATCCGTTTTGGAGAAATATTTTTTTTGAAATCGCGTATTTTTTCGAGATCTATCCACCGCAAACTGCCGTAGGCGGTTTGGCCCACCAATTTCTAAAAAAAAATACTTTATTAAAGAGTTTCTAAGAAAAATCTATGAGAACCTTATGTTTTATTAATGAATTTTTAAAATTTTTAATTAAACAATTATCCCGTGCATTATTTAATAATCTTTCTTTATAATTGGTCAAATTATTTAATTATGGTAAATTTGGGAATAATTAATGATGGTAATAGAAATCCTAGAAGAATATAGAATTGAACAATATAATTATTGTGACTCACGGAATACAAGAGTTAATGCCATTTTTGGTCCTAGACTTATTGGGGCATTGGCACTTTTCATTCTCCATAATACAAATTGTCACTTAGTAGCCACTGTTATTGATCGTTGGACAGTTTTGATCCTCCGTCAATGACGTCGTTTGTTGACCGTGAATTAGAAGGGTTTTTTTTTGTCTTTTTATGTTCTAATCCTTGTATTTCTCCATCCATTGGTCACTGCTACATCCATTTCTTCAAACTGAGGTTATCCGCTTCAGTCCTTTCTAACATTAAGAAACCATCTTCACCCAACTAACAATCACAAATTTTACATTTGACATCAATCTCAAGATAATGGAAACAAGTGCAGTTGGAATAGAAATTAAAGGGCGTTAGTCCATGCCTGTGGAAATTTTGTCGAGCATACAACATAACTAGCAAAGTCAGGAATATCACTCAACCCCTCTCTTAACCTTTCTGCATCAACTATAATAGGTATGCCCCTACTCTTTGCCTCCTGCACTACAATCAAAGCAGTCTCATGCAGCCTTCCATCTAAGTAGACAATATTTACTCCAAGCGCTGAAGACAATTTTGATTTGGGTATGTAGACCCTCAGATATCATGGGTGGATATCCTGGAGTGAAAATGCACGTGCGAGTTTTTTTTTTTTTTTGGTTGTCAACAATGACATATGTGAATGGTGAGTTTCCTCCTTTGGACACCACCATAAAAGATGTATCAATACCATCCCTTTCAAGCTCATCAAGTATTCTTTCGCCATGCGAGTCATCAGCAACCTTAGATATGATCCTTGGATTAAGACCAAGACGAATTTTATCATCCGGGTTTTATCAAAGCATTGCCAGTGTTACCACCTCCTTGAACCTCAAAGCTGGTGCTCCGAATTTTATCATCCGGGTTGGGGAATGAAGCTACAGCAGCCAGGAAGTCAACACCGGTCATTTCAACACCTCAGACAATGCGATTTTTGGGGAGCGGCGAATTCCACATTTTCAGCTTGAAACTTCAATGAATTTCAGGTAGAATAACAGAGTTTTTGAGGTTGTGCACCAAGTAGTTGTGGTCAGAGAGAGAGAGAGAGATGGGAAGGATATTTGTGGCCAATATGGAAGGGAGGACTTACAGGTGCAAATTCTACATCACGCCATCTACAACTACAACTGCTATTTACCATAGGAGGGTTCGTCGACCTGCTGCCCTCTCTGCTTCGCCGGAACCAAAAACCAACGTTGAAGGCCCCAACCTCGCCGGATCTGTTGCTGCACCGCCAGATCTGCCTTACTGGTCAGTCGCTGGAAGGAGTTACTGCCTCGTATGCTCGCCGCTGTACCCACAACTCGCCGGAGAAGAACCTCGCTGCTACTCACTACCGACGGTTACTACTTAGCCGCCAAGTCTCGCCATCTCGCCTCACAGGAGTCACAGCAGCGCTGGTCTAAACAAGATTAGAAGAATAAGACAAAAAAAGACAGAAAAACCCTTCTAATTCACGGTCAACAAACGGCTTCATTGACGGAGGATCAAAACTGTCCAACGACCAATAACAGTGTCTACTAAGTGGCAATTTTTATTATGGAGGATGAAAAATATCAATGTCTCAATAAGTCTAGGACCAAAAATGGCATTAACTCCGGAATACAATACAAGAATATTTAATTATGGTTATATTATTATTGTGCCTCACGACCATTATATACTAACAGTACTTGAAAAGAAACTAATAATAATAATAATAATAATAATAATATAATAATAATAATAATAATAATATAAGTGGTAATAATAATATCTAAAAGTAATTAAGTGTTAATAATAATAGTAAGAATATTAACGTAAGAGTTGTAACATAGAATAAATTGTAATAATTAATAACTATAGTCTAGGATTAAATTTGGAATTGTCAAAAAAGATAAACGACCTCTGCTGAAATTAACTCTTAAATAATTATATATCGATTTAAATATTCTTAATATATTACAACAATTCCATTCCGTGCATCGCACGCGTGAAAATACTAGTTATATATAATAACAAAATCCTGAAATTTTAACTTCCCGCCCAATTCCTAAAAAATCTCTCTTCCCAATAAAATATATTGATTTCTACTTTCCCATTCATACAATAATTCTGGGTTAAAGTTCTATTCTAAAATTTTAAAATAGTGTAATACAATTCCCTTTGTACATCTATCTATACTATATATAATAACAAAATCCTGGAATTTTAACTTCCCGCCCAATTCCTAAAAAGTCTCTCTTCCCAATAAAATATATTGATTTATATTTTCCCATTCGTACAATAATTCTGGGTTAAAGTTCTATTCTAAAATTTCAAAATAGTGTAATACAATTCCCTTTGTACATCTATACTATATATAATAACAAAATCCTGCAATTTTAACTTCCCGCACAATTCCTAAAAAATCTCTCTTTCCAATAAAATATATTGATTTCTACTTTCCCATTCGCACAATAATTCTGGGTTAAAGTTGTGATGTGTTAAAAGTTTAGCAAGGCATAACTTTTGACTCGGTTGTCCGTTTTAGACAAATGTTTTTTTGAAATCGCGTATTTTTTCGAGATCTATCCACCGCAAACTGCCGTAGGCGGTTTGGCCCGCCAATTTCTAAAAACAAATGCTTTATTAAATAGTTTCTAAGAAAAAACTATGAGAACCTTATGTTTTATTAATGAATTTTTTAATTTTTTAATTAAAAAATTGTCCCGTGCATTGTTTGATAATCTCTCTTTATAATTGGTCAAATTATTTAATTATGGTAAATTTGGGAATAATTAATGATGGTAATAGAAATCCTAGAAGAATATTAGAATTGAAGAATATTTAATTATTGTTATATTATTATTGTGACTCACGGAATAGAATACAAGAATATTTAATTATGGTTATATTATTATTGTGTGCCTCACGGCCATTATATACTAACAAAACTTGAAAAGAAACTAATAATAATAATAATAATAATAATAATAATAATAATATAATATAATATAATATAATATAAGTGGTAAAAATAATATTTAAAAGTAATTAAGTGTTAATAATAATAGTAAGAATATTAACGTAAGAATTATAACATAGAATAAATCGTAATAATTAATAACTATAGTCTAGGATTAAATTTGGTATTGTCAGGAAAGATAAGCGATCTCGGGTGAAATTAACTCTTTATCGATTTAAATATTCTTAATATATTACAACAATTTCATTCCGTGCATCGCACAGGTAAAAATACTAGTAATAACAATAGAAAAATACAAATGTATTTCTACTTTTCTAGACTAGTCTTGGATAATATATTTTTGCATCACGTTATATTAAATAGGGAAAAAAAATTCAATTTTTACTCCTTGATTTTTTACCATTATAATATTGTCTCCCTAACTTTTCAAAAATGTTACAGTTTTAACTCGTGTACAACAAAAAGGTAAACTCTATTAAAAGCTTACTTAGGACATGCGTATTTTAAAATTTTATTATTTTTATTATTTATAACTTTTTCAATTTTGACATTTCATCTATAAAAAAAGAGAAATAATAACTTTCTTCCTTTAATTTTTCCTCCTCAATTGTGGTACATCGTCCATACTTTTTCCCCAATGTCTATTCCTTCAGCGAACCAAACAACAGAATACAATTACTATTCTATTTACATATTCCATTCCCTATGGAATAGAATTCATATTCCCTCCAAATTGATTCAGTGAACCAAACGGGCCATAATAGAGTTTAATAGTTTGTTGCTCCGAAAGTTAAAATTACAACTTTTTTTAAGAGTTAGGGGTGTATATTGTAATGGTAAAAAGCTAGAGATTACAATGACTAACAAAACAAAATTAAAGGATTAAAAATACATTTTTCCCTGTTCAATGCAATATCCATCTCCCCCCAACTCCAACCCCTATCCGCCTCCCTCCAACCCCAACCCCTGTCCGCCTCCCCCCCATTAAACCACCATACAAACATGCCAATAGACAACAACATAAAGTGCACACAATATTACAAACAAGTGCATATTATCTATCTCCTCTCAGATCGACCCTCGTCCGCCTCTCCCTATCAACAAAACATGTACCTAAAATGCATAAAACAATACAAACAAGTGCACACTATCTATCTTCCCCCAGTCCAAAACTGCATCTGCTTCCCCCAGCCATCGCGAACCCCCACACTCTACAATACACAAACCAGGCCAAATACATGTACACTAAACACAAACCACATTATAACAATTCCACCAGGGACCCAACCACTGAAAAATGCATCGCAACTCCACCAGAACCCCGCAACAGTAAAATGCACACAAAACATAATTTTACTGGGTTTTTTCTCGCCGTCTAGACGATCGTTTTAAAGATTTAACTTCTTAAGATTTTTCAAGAGCTTTAAATTTTTCAAGAGTGACAAAAATTATTTACTAGATCTAGTTGTTGTTGATTCCTATCTTTTATACTGATTTGTCTCCCACACTTCTAGTGACAGGGAGTATCGATAGATATATAAGGTCCAATTGAGGGAATGTGTATGAGACATAGTCACTCTTTTATGAAATAGATTTATTTTGCAGATTATATATAATTGATCTCTTTATGAACTTTTAGTTCAGTCTATTTGGTACGTGGATTTAAGCTGTGAAGATCATTTCATAAAATTTCTCGGTGTTCCATTTAAATTTTGATCATATCTCCCCCTAATGCCGTGAATCGATCTTCATGCAGTCAGCGTATTCGATCCATTGCGTCTCTCCCAGGGGCTTTAAATATTGGACTGCACTAATAAGAATGGACTATGGTGGTTATATAATAGAATGGACTGTTTGATATGAAACCACGTATTAGATGTAAGGGGGGAATAATGATATGCAATGTGCCAAATTTTTAGAATTAAAGTAGTAGCATGAATATTGCATTTCCCCAACAAATATCCGACAAATTGGATTTTGAAAAATAATGATCTAGCAATAATTTAAACTCGATTAATTAGCTAAACCATTTGGTTATGGACATAAGGTAATTGATGCTGCACCTTAATGCCCAATCTCACACAATAATTATCAAAAGTTGACAAAGTTCATAAGATAATTCGGAAAATGGGCATTATCCATAAGGTACTAGATTATATCCATCTATTACTCATGTCTACTCAGTGGATGAAGGATATTTTATTGAAGTAGGTTATGATAAGGTATTTCAATTCATGAACATTTCTGGTTTTGTCATGAAAACTAAATTGACTTAATGTCTTTAAAATGGATGGAGTAAAAATAAAGCTCTATCGGAGCCCACAAAGGAAACCTTATCAATAATGACATGAAGAATTTTAGAGGTTTGTATATATAGATCATCCAAAAGGGAACATAAGAAAAATGAGGTCATCAATATGACCAACAAGAGCATTTGCTTCAGGCAAAGCAACTTTGTTGGATCATTGTGATGTTCATTTAGGTTTCAACAAAATGCTTCAGGGTGTGGCACGCACGTGATCAGTGCCTTATACACCCACACTTGAAGCATACTTGCTGCTAGGCCAGAATTATGATTGTATGAATGTGGTTGTCGAGATAGATCATTTTGCTGTTTATTCTGATTTCGAGAGTTATTGTTGCCACCTTGTGTTGCATAATCCTTTGCCATGTACTGCTATTAGAGTATAAGGTTCTATCCTTTAGGGATTTCTATAAGGCATAAGGGGTCCTTTTCAGGTTCATGTTGCAGGTCATGGTTTAGATGGTGGCGAGAAAAAAAATTAGGGCTTTTAGCTTTGAAGGCTGCATGGCTCATGTACTACTTAATGATCGTTTCTTCAATTTGCATAGATGTGAGATAAATCTCAACATCAATAGCCCATGTTAAATAATTCGAAAAGCATCATATTTGGTGATAGTAGCCAAGATCCAGATTTTTCAAAAAAAAATCTATATATACTACGTCTGGCTAATTTCGAGTGTCCAATTCTAAAACATAGCCTATAGTCCGCATAATCAAAACTATTTATGCTATTAATACAAAATATGCATATGAACTCACATAAAGCACATAATTTGTACAAAATAACAATTTAAAATATGAGCATATTCAATAATAAATTGAATGGCAATTTGAAAGCAACATATTTTCAATTCTTTAAAAAATCAAATTACTGACCCAAATCAATTTATACATGTATATATATTATAAATGATTAAATAATGTATAAATATGGTCACATGCAATGCAGTTTGTGTGTTAAAGCTCTTGATCCAGGCCAAATGCCAAGTCAACCATTACGGGAATGACGAGGCTGATGACTATAACAGCAGTGGCAACACCATTTGAAGATGCTAAAGTGGCATACAGTCCAGAGACGAATGCAATTACAACTCCAAATGTGGCATAATATGTCATGGACGTCTCCTCCCTGTAAAGCTTCAAGATAGTTCTGTACTTCCTGGAAGATGATGACGCTTCTTTCGCCATCACAATGTAAAGGAATATTGACAAAATGGAGCATATGAACGCAATAGTATCTGCCACAACAAATACAATAAAAGCTGTATTTCGTAACAATATTGGCTTCCCTTGTTTTAACCCAGGATTGCCGTCGTATCCTCCTGGGACTGTAAAACCAGCTGCAAAGGTTACAGTTAATATTAGTGTAGCGACGATGATGTTTGTTTCACTTGACTTTAATATTGTATTAATTTCCTTGTCACCACTCTTCTTCTCTTTCCGATGTCTTGTGAGATCGCCACCACGGGGACCAACTTTGTTCTCACTCCAAACAAGTTTTCCGCCTTGTCTCTGTACGTGTATGTTGCATTATTGCATGCATGCATGCATATTCAACAAGTAAAGTATTATGTTTTTAAATAAATAATAATGTAGAACCAAACTAAAGTGCACTTACGAAGATATCAAAAAGAAAATAGCCCTCTCTTTCTTCCAAGGCCATATCAAATGGAGTTTGTTGGTGTTTATTAAACACCAAATGCTTCCGTGTATGCCGCTTTATAGCCCTCTGTAAATGGTGGCAATCAGATATGGCAAGCATGTGCAGTGGTGTGTTGCCATTCTCGTCTTTCTCATCAATAAGGTTGTCGATGTGGGGAGATCTCAATACATACTCAAACGCATTCACCCTCTTGCTCAGTACTGCTTCGTGAAATACATTCTGCAATTTGCTATTAGTCATCTCCCAACAATCTGGGCAGCTTTCTGATATCTTTTTCAACATTTTAATGTTGCCCACCGTAACTGCAATGTGAAATATTGTCGTCCATTCATTGCCATTGCCCGCGCGAACATAAGCTGCAGACAGGTTTTCCTCAAGAATCATGGTTGTAGCTCCAATATCACAGAGGTTTACAGCACAGTGTAGTGGCGTCAAACCAAAATCGTCAGTCTCGTCGCACAAAGAGATCTCCTTTTGCAATAGTAATTTTGTACATTCCAAGATATTTACTGATACAATATAAACATTATGAGTAACGCCCCATCAGAACTAGAAAAAAAAAAAAAAAAAAAAAAAAAAAAAAACAAAACAAAACAAAAAACAAAAAAAAAAACAAAAAAAAACAAAAAAAAAAAAATGGAATGCTAGCTAATAGGATAACTCGAATTATTTTAGGCAAAAATTTGTGTGAGGCCACCTAATGGATCCTATTCTGTGAGACAAGTCAGGTCAAGATCAAAATGTAATACTTATATTTAAAAAATGTAAATCAGGAATAAATTGCTTATTTCTTATATGGAAAACTGTAATACTTTTAATTAGAATGTAATACTTTTACATTTTGATTTTAAAGTATTACATTTTCGATTATAAGTAACAAACAAATTTCAACATTACTGAAAAAAGGGAAAATGTCATACTTTTTATGAAAAATGTAATATTTTTACATTTTCTTATTATTGATTGTTAATTACATTTGTTAATGGCTTTGTCATTGCACATGGTACTAAGTTGTTCCTTCAGATCTTGCAACTCACTCTTTGAACTAGCTTCCAAACACTCTACACTCTTGTGCTTAATGACCTACTATTTAACCCCTTTCCGATCCAGTCTGTGAGACAATTTCCGGTGTGAGAATACCCTCTCACACACATTTTATTCTATTACCACTCTATAAAACTTTTGTTGGTCCCAAAGGGTTTGGGTATGCAATGTAATGCATAAATAAGAGAGAGAGAGAGAGAGAGAGAGAGAGAGAGAGAGATTTATAGTGTTCGGTTATTAACGAAGTTGAAAGATCAACCTAGCAAGGCGACTTTGTGACTAACCATACGCAAGTTCTGATCCGGCAGTGAAAGACAACTTGACGAAGGCTAGTGACGGTAAAAATGTTACCAAAAATATAATATTAGAATAACGGATTGTTGTATTGCAAGTGTTTGAGTACAAAATAGTGATCGTGTCCTCCCTGGCTGAGGAGAGGTCCTACTTATATCAAGTTCTTAACGGTAACATCATAATGATGCATAATGAGGCGCTGAGCATTCATTCCTCTCTCTCTTCAATGGTGGTGTAGTAAATGTCTCATAGTAATGTTTCCACCCGTTGGTATTTTGTCTGTTGGGTTTCCACGCGGTGCCGGGTCAGGTGCTGTTGACAACCCAGGTCGGGTGCTGGCACCATTACTCTGTCACCAAGGACACGTTTAATATTCTGTACTAAGACATATTTTGTACTCAAACACTTGCAATACAACAATCTATTATTCTAACATATTTACCGTCATTGGTGCTCTCGTTGAGAGCCTGAGTCCAACACTCAAGCAGGCGACTACACACACAACTTTCTCTTTCAACGACAAGATTGAAAGAAAGGTGTCCGGCAGCTCCCACGGTTCCCGCAACTTGAACAACGGCAACGCATCAGGTGATTTTCGAGACTAACTCACCAACAATCGTGGAGGGGACCTCCGAGAACAACTCAATAACGGGAGGGCCAGGGACCTCCGAGAACAACTCAATAATGGAGGAACAAACCAAATCATGAACCTCCAGGCGACCGCCGAAGCCATCCAACAAGCGGCGACGGCACTAACCCAGGCAGTGGCGGGATTGCAGGGCCAAGTGCACCCGCCGCGGCCACAGGAAATAGAAGTGGAATCCCCACGAAGGGAAGAAACCCAGCAACGATAAGATACAACCCGTGCGACGAGGGACACAGGACAACACACTAGGACAGAGGCCCTAGAGGAGGGCGCCCAAAGAAGTGGACCGGCCAGACGACGACCAGGACCCTCCCAGTCTGCCCTCAAACGGTTGGGACAAAGGGCGTCCGCACGGAAAAGATTGGGATCTCAAGCCGAGGGGCCCTCGCCAACATGAAATCAGAGGAGCAGAGAGATCACCCACGGAGAAGAGGGGCGAAGCTGATGACCCGGCCCACGCGCCGACACTTTGATGAGCCGATCGCGCACCAGCACTTGATTGAGCCGGCCGCGCGCCGGCACTTGAATGAGCCGGCACTTTGATGAGTTGACCCCGCGCCGGCACTTGGATGAGCCGGCCGCGCGTCGGCACTTGGATGAGCCAACCGCGCCCCGACACTTTGAAGAGCTAGCCCCGCGCAGCCACCTGAATGAGTCGGTCGCGGGCCGGCACTTTGAAGAGCTGACCCGCCGCTGCAACTTGGATGAGTCGGTCGCGCGCCGGCACTTTGATGAGCCGACCGCGCGCCGGCACTTTGATGAGTCGGTCCCGCGCCGACACTTTGATGAACCGGCCGCCCGCCGGCACTTGGATGAGCCAGCCACAAGCCGGCACTTTGATGAGCCTGTCGGCGGCCAAAACTTTGAAGAGCTGGCCCCACACTGCTACCTGGATGAGTCGGTCGCGCGCCAGCACTTTGATTAGCTGGCCCCACGCCGACACCCTGATGAGTCGACCCTAGTCAAAAGAATACAAAGAAAAATTGAGAAAAAAATTATTAATTACCACACTCTACTCCCTAAGGCCCGGCACTGGATCCGGTCCAGCCAGCTACCCGACGGGAGGGCGTTTCTTGGTCAAAATCAAAGTTTGGTTATGAAAACGCTATCCCCTAAGGAATAGTACGAGGTATAACCTCGCTCACTACTCTACGGAAGAGCCGCCCTTTGATCGAGCATACGGCCTGTCGAAGTAAGTTACGAACAAACACAAAAAAAAAAAAAAAAAATTAAAATTGGTCGCGTCCACCTCGGCCACGCCAAATTGGCCAAGGTTTGCCTCGGCCAAAACTGGTCGAGCCCTAAGTCGAGATCGCGACTCCGTGACCTTGGTTAGAAGGAAAAAAAATGGAGAAGAAGGCTAAGGCGACGCCTCATACGAAATTGGCCGAGGCTGCCTCGGCCAAACATCGGCCGAGGCGCACACCTCGACCAAACATCGGTCGAGGTGCATGCATCGGCCAATATTGGCCGAGCCCACCTCGGCCAACATCGGTCGAGCCCGCCGAGGCCGAAGGTTGAGGCGACGCTTCATCCGAAATCGCCCGAGGCGCACGCCTCGGCTAAACATCGGTCGAGGTGCATGCATCGGCCAACATCGGTCGAGGTGCATGCCTCGGCTAACATCGGCCGAGGCCGAAGGCTGAGGCGACGCCTCATCCGAAATCGGTCGAGGCTGTCTCGGCCAAACATCGTCGGCTGAGGCGCACGCCTCGCCAACATCAGCCGAGGCCCACGCTTCAGCCAGAATTGTCCAAGGCTGCCTCGGCCAACATTGGTTGAAGCCCGCCTCGGCCAACCTCCGGGGCTTTGTTTAAAAAAAATGAAAAATGAAAAAGGGAGGACCTTTGATGGAGTTTTTCTCCCAAGCCAGCTCAGTTACATTCGCTGACTCGAGAGTAGGGGGGCTGGTGACAGAGTAATGGTGCCAGCACCCGACCCGGGTTGTCAACAACACCTGACCCGGCACCGCGTGGAAACCCAACGAACATAACTCCAACAGATAGAATACCAACGGGTGGAAACGTTACTATGATACATTTACTACACCACCATTGAAGAGAGAGAGGAATGAATGCTCAGCTCCTCATTATGCCTCATTATGATGTTATCGTTAGGAACTTGATATAAGTAGGACCTCTCATCAGCCAGGGAGGACACGTTCAATATTTTGTACTAAGACACACGCTCACTATTTTGTACTCAAACACTTGCAATACAACAATCCGTTATTCTAATATTATATTTCCGATAACATATTTACCGTCAGCTAGTGATTGTCTCAAGGACTGTCAACGGGTGGAAGGCGGAGGCTTCGTACCACTTTGTATTTATGTAAACAAATACTTAGTGGAATAATCCTCATTGGTGTTTAAAGAGAATAGTGGAGTAGAAAAGTTTTTCAAATCAATATAAAAAAATATATCTCTCTCTCATTTTCATTACTTCTACTTATAAACTAACCCCATATTCTGATCTACACAAATAATTAAAATTTATCAAAACCAAGTGACATCGCTTTTAATTGGCAAGCTTCAAGAATTCTGGTGCAAGAAAACCTATTTTCTAGTTTTGATTTTCTAAGTTCAATTAAGCTCACGTAGAGCAATTTCAAAAAAGTCTTAAAAATTCTATTCACCCCCTCAGCTCCCTCTTCTTCTCCCACCACCCCCCCCCCCATCCCGAATCCCGATCCCCTCCTAGACTTATTGACTTGCCTGGGACCAACAACATCCTATTCTTTTCCTTAACTATTTTGTTTTCTATGATATAACAAGCATACTATTCCCTTATAATTTATTGGGTGAAATAAAAAGTGCTATTAGCGATTGTTATATATACAAACATAACTGATAACTACCAGACTAATTTAGGTAGAAAGCTCCCTTCACCAAATTAGTTACGAGTTTATTACTGCAAGCATTGTTATATTAAATTTTATTTTTTAAAATTGATAATACCTGTTGCTTCCGCATCACGTTCATATCCAGACTTTAAATTCAGCATCAATCTTCTCCACCATAATATTCCCCTGTGGTCAACCTTATCTATCATGTACAAAACTTGTTATCATATTTGTAATATATATAATCATTGTAATTCCAAAATGTTAGATGCATACAAAATTCTTTAAATAAATTTGTACGTGTGTATGCAAAGTTGATCAATTTATAAATAATTAATAAATAGGAATATTTTCCAATAAAATATATAAAAATGTTGTATTTTGAAAATATAGAGTCATAAAATATATTTGTAATTTTTTCTCAAGTTGTGTTAGTAAAACATGTACCATTTTTTGTTTTGAAATAGACATTTTTAGATAATTATCTAGTAAATATAAAGAATTATAAAGCGTACACATGCTGAACTTGCTCTCAGAATGTTGTGTTTGTTTAATTTTCCTTGCAACAACACAAACCCATTTTGTTCCCACTTATACTTATTTTTTTGAAAAATTTTTCATGAACCAAAATTTAAAACAACTTCACACGAGCTTTTGTGTATATCACGTTTGGAGGTGATCATTATAAAATAGTATTTTGACAGGGAAAACTATAGCAGTATATATTCTTGTTATAATAAGGCTTTTAGCCTTTTACTGTTGATATTACCTCTTCTATCCACGTCATATGATCTCAAAATGAACTTGGAATGCAACCACTCTACTGCCCAATGGGTTAGTTGCTTGGTATAATGACTTGACATTCCTGTCATGTACAAAAACACATTATATATATATTTTTTGAAAACAAACACATTATATATGTTTCTAGATAATGTTAAAAGCAAATAAAATGTTGCATATAAGTTTGCACGCATTTAAATAACCATAGCTAATTCTTAAATTACAAATGAATATATACAAATTTATAAATCTTATAGACCCTACATGTGTATAAGTTCTATTTCACATTAAAAACTCATGTTTTTTTTTTTTTTTTTTTTTTTTTTTTTTTTAAGAATTAGGACCAAGGATGGTTATTTTTTAAAACATGGAAGACCATTGGAGGTTATTTAAAATTCGGATAACCACAGCTAGTAAATCACTAATACTCGGAGGACCATTGGAGGTATTAACTCTTAAAAAAAAATAGTTGTGCACTTTTCCAAACATGTCTCAACATACAAAAATGTTTATCATGAGCAAGCTAAAAGTTTTAAAGGGGATAATAGACTTTTATATTTTATAACTAAAGTTGTACTCAAAGGGTAACTCAATATAGACTTAAAGTGTTAATAACCAGATTACAAAACGCGTAGCTAGGATACGAAATACAGGACGTGAACTAGTTCTAAACGTAATGCAGATGGAAATTAATAAGAATAGAAGTAAGCAAGAAATAGGTAAACATGCACAAGAACACAACAAGTTTGGTAACCCAATTGGAATAGCCATTCCTACATCTTGGCGGGGGGGGGGGGGGGGGGGGGGGGCGACAATATGGTTTGCCCATCTATTCATTAATAATCAATTGAATATGTTTATTAAACAATCGACTCAGAGCAAACACTCTGAACTCCACAGTTGATCCCCAGTCTTTCTATCGCGTCGAAGTTTCTTAAAGAGGTGGTGCAAGATCTCCCAATCTTACAAGTTGAGACTCCACCTCAACTACAGCTCTCCCGAGTATACAATTGTGGTTCTCAGCCATAATCTTCAAGCGTCAAAATCATCTTCATATGAATTGTCAATTCACCAAGTTGCTCCGTTTAAACTCCATGAATATACCCTTAATATAACTGGATTTGCTATGTGAAATCTTGGAAATCATCAATCTGATCTGAATGTAAATGAGGGGCATTTATAGTTTATCATCTTTAGTTAGCTCTAGCTGACTAACAGCCTTGGACTTCTTTCTAAACTAGTATTCTTGACTTGTTCACTCCAGGTCTTCAATCTTGCGTCTTCCAATAAATATCCGAGCTCTGAACTAAGTCTAATGGTAAGCATAGACTCAATCTAATCTAAATACAATCTTAGAGATGACATCAATAACTAGATCCTGAACTACTGAATTGATCCATAAATCGAAAGCAACTTGGAGGAGAGAAATGATATTTTGCTTTGTAGAAATACTTTTTCTTAATGACGCATTTTATTAACAATCTCCCCCTTTGTTTGAGTTTATGGCAATGCAGTTGTTCATAAAAATTTAAACCTAGGAGGCCGATTAAACCTAAGAGAAAACATAACATCATACTGGCTTTTGGTTAAGACTTCTAATGTCGAAGACAACCTAATGGTCCAAAGTTCACACAAAAAAATAAACTATAATAATTTCATCCTAAGTGAACTTGGAGCAGATTAGAACAAATGCAGAATAACAGAAACGGAATTTAAAACCAAATTTTCTGAGGTACATCAACCAGGGCTTGAAATAGCCATTGTCTAAGTAACAGGGGGCAAAAAACTAGTGAAGCTAGTTCGGCAATAACCAAGTAGCCAGGAGTTTAAATTTTAATGTGTGCTCGCCCTCAGTGCCAGAAACTTATGAATCTGTAGCCATAAGATTTATAGGCTGGGCTAAGCACGGGTCAATATTAAGATCAGTGGCAAGCAAAGGATTGGTCATCTTGCTATTGAGAATTGCTTTCTTCAGTTGCTTGTCTCGGGGTAAGGTCCTCCAAAAGCTTCATATCAATGTTCCTCTTTCTCACAAGGATTTCAATCACTTTGCTAAGCTATGAAATGCTCTGTTTCAGCATATAGGTTGTAGCTTGATTGGTCTGTGTTTGAGGAACTACATCTTGGAATGGAGGTTGTGTTGATTGGTCAACAAGAAGATCAGTTTAAGGGGTGATATCCATAATGTATGGTGGAGCCAAAAAACTGTTTTTAATTTGTCTCATCTTTGGGTGCTCCAATGCCTCATAAGAATGTGCTCTAAAGAGTTGGCTACTCAGCAGTTGGTAGATCAGGCATGGATATGGCAGTTAAAAGGTATACCGCACCCATCTTTATAGACGATTTCAGCCATTTGCAAGTTTAGATCTCCTCCATGCTCTGCAACAAGCCAATTTGTTGGTGCCAATTTATGAAGAATTGCAAAATTTATGGTGAGGTTCTTGACTGATAAAACATTTGTTTCTGTGGGCCAGTAAGATACCATCCCTCCAGTGAGTCATTTGGTCATGACGTTGGGGCAGATATCAACTTCCTCTATGTCGTTAGAAATTCCAAGAAGCATGTTGATTTTCCTTGCATTAAAGTGATACCAGTTGTTTCTCAGTGAAATCCTGTCATACACAGGGGAGTCAGTTTTATTCACCTCAGTAAGAAGATTCAAATAAAACTCCTTGATGATAGTGGGTGCAAATGGTTTCATCTGAGTCACTGATCGAATAAGATTTGTGCCCTCGAGCAGTGAACAATCGAGCAATTTGTCCTGAACTTTTCCACATCAATATTATTTTCACATAGGATTTGCCTCTTGGATATGCCATCCCAATTTGCTTCAATTGTTGGAGAGAGAAACATGGGCTTGTAGACTACTGGTGGTTGCACTTCTTCTGTATTATTGTGTCAGGAGTGTGCTGTGAAGGGGCTTATTGCACTACTTTGATAAACAGATCCCTGGTAGTCCTAGGGGCCTACGGCCTCGCCTAGCCTGGCCTGTTTAGTAAAAAGGCTATGCCTAGGCCTATTTAGAAGCCTATTTAATTAAATAGGCCCAAACTTATATGTAAAGGTATGACTTACGAGCCTACAAGCCTGGTATGTGTGTGTGTATATATATATATATATATATATATACACACACACACGTGTATAGGGAAGGGATCAGGTGCATTTGTGGCTTCCCGTGCGGTTATGCGGTTGATTAATGTGCGTGAGTTTTATACTTAATGTGCGTGAGTCTTGTGCTTAATGTGCGTGAGTTTTGTACTTAATGTGCCTGAGTATTGTGTTCAATGTGCGAGAGGTTTGTGCTTAATATGCGTGACTTTTAACACAATCGCACAAGGAAGCTATAAACAAAATACATTCAGACTACAAACTCACACATAGTAAACACAAAACTCAGACGAAGACGAAGACATATATGATGAAGAACAGAGAGAGGGGAAGAGAGGATTAAGGGAATAGGAAGAGAAGACGAAGACGTATATGATGAAAAACAGAGAGAGGGGAAGATAGGATTAAGGGAATAGGAAGAGTTGACGAAGACATATATGAAGAAGAACAGAGAGAGAGGAAGAGAGGATTAAGGGAAAAGAGAGGAAGAGAGGATTAAGGGAAAAGAGAGGAAGAGAAGACGAAGACGAAGACGTATATGTACAGGAGCAACAGGAACACATTAACATTACACACTCACGCACATTAAGTACAAATCTCAAGCATATTAAACACAAGACTAAGGCACATTAAGTATTAAACTCATGCACATTAACTTTACACGCTCACGCACATGAAGTACAAAGTTCAGGCACATTAAGCACAAGACTCACGCACATTAAGTACAAAGCTCACGCACATTAATCAACTGCACAACCGCACGGGAAACACCAAACCGCACTGGAACCTTTCACCACGTGTATATATATATATATATATATATATATATATATATATATATATATATATATATATATATATATATATATATATATAACCTTTAGGCTCCAATTGCATAACCCTAATCATTTGAATATCATTTGTTACATCTTTGAATATCATTTGCTGCAAACCGCAAGGTAGTTAGAGGTCTCTTTTTCATTTGTTGCATCTTTGATTATCATTTTTCTCTAGAAATCTTAAATGACATGGAATCTGTTTATTGAATCTCGGAACCCATTTGTGTTTTTTATTGTAATTAATGAATTTCGAAACCCATTTCTTGTTTAAGTATAATTTATGTTTTTTGGAATCTAAATGGTCTTTGTTCATGTCTAGCAAAGATTATTGAGTTGGTAAGTTTAGGCTAATATTGTAGGAAATCTTGTTTTGTCTTTACTTGCATTTTAATCTAATATGTGTACCGTTAGAGAATGTATCAACCCATCTAAAAAGGCTAAATAGGTTCAAAGCCTATTTAAATAGGCTCAAAGCCTATTTAGGACCTACTTTGAAAACTTTTTAATAGCTTATATATTAAATAGGCTTTTAAAAAGGCTTCAGGCTAAGCCAGGCCAACTGTATGCTCAGACTTGAGCCTGATAAAAAGCCTACATACAGGCCCAGGCCCTAGGCCTCGGCTTTAAATTTCAATAGCAGGCCCAGGCCTAATTTTCCAAAGCCCAGCTCGATTCGACCTATTTCTACCCCTAATTGTCGGGTATCTTACATTCCCTTCCAATAGCTAAAACCTTTATGTGGAGTTTATGTGACATTCCCTAGGAAAATTACATAACCTGAAGCAAACATTAGAATCTTATATTTCAAAGCAAATATAAATTTGTTATCTTGTATAACTTGAACCAAATACCCTTAAATGATATTGTATGAGTGATAGTATTTTTTTTTTTTTGAATACTCATGATTCTTTACAAGGTAATATCTATTTTGTATTTTATGCAATCTTTTTTAGCTCAAAGAATCAATGCCTCCACCACTAGGGTTCTATTCTATGATCATCCATTAGAATGGAACCAGAGATATCATCGCGCTATATAGTAGTTGTCGTATGAGTGACGTTATAAATCATACTTATGAAAGTACTTGTTAGGAATATAATCCTATAATAGATTATTTCCAACGTGACAACAA